TAATAATAATAGTGTGAGCAATATGTTTAGATTTTATTATAATATGCTAATTTTAGGATGGTTTTAGAAGAGATCAAAACTTGTTATTAATGAGATGATTAATTAGGGCAAAATTTTTTAACATTTCATTCACAAAATTATTCGATCAAAAAAAAGAGGATGAACAGGAAAGGAAGAGGAAGAAGAGGAGAAAGAGAAAGAGGAAAAGGAAGGTAAAATTAAAAGGACCAAAATGTCCTATAAAGCATTCTGAAGGGCAATAATTTGTGAATGTAGCATGAAAACAATTAATCTTCTAAGAAAGACAATAAATTTCGATATTCTTCCTCAAGAAAAAATTTTTTTTGAGAATTGCTGTCTTCATTTCGCATAATTGTGTGTTTGTCTGTCCATCTCTGTGTGTGTTGTGTATGTGTACGTATGTGTGTATATGTGTGTATGTGTATGTGTGCGTGTGTGTGTGTGTGTGTGTGTGTGTGTGTATGTGTATATATATATTTATTTTTTGTATCTCTGGCTATTTGTTGATCTGCTTGTTTCGTTGGGAAAAAAGAATGGACCTGATGGCCAGCTGTCCATTAAATCTGTAAGGTGTTAACCGTTAACCGTAGGAAGCTCATTCAGGAAGCATTTTGGATTGTTAATTGTATATCTAAAACTATCCATTGTCCGTATCCTGTCCTTACTTACCTTCCCGTAAATGTCCCTAACAAAATATCCCATTCATCGGTCCTCTTCATTATAAGTATCTTTATAAGTGTCTTCGGCTATATTCCACTTTCGCTTACACACAGACACAGACACAAACACACACACATACACCACACATACACACATAGAGACAGACACAAACATACACACACACACACACACACACACACACATTCATCAAATCATTAATCACCATGAAGTACTTATTATTACATACATACATATTGTCAGTGACATCATTCCTTAATTAACGATTGTTGATTTAAGGAGTGCAAATGATTTATACTGCTTAAGATTTCAAAACAAACTTGTAGCTTTCAATTGAGTTAACTCCTTATTCTAATATTTTAAACAATGAAAGAGTGATTACAGATTTGATTTCAAATCATTTTGATTTCAGATTAAATTTGATCCATCCGTACTTATACTTCCTAATTATCATTATCATCACTTTTCGTTTGATGATAATGTATCATCAATTTGCATCCTTATTAAAATTATGCTATTGCTAGGTGTTGTTAATATTGCTTCTTGTTATCGTTATTATTAATTATTATTATTATTATTATCATTATTACTGTTATTGTTAACACTTACCCGCCTTTAATGTAAGAAAATCTGTCAACAACAATTCTATACTTTGTAGTCAGTGTTCTTTTGCTGATAATTAATTTGTGATGTGATGATAACCATCACATTTAATCATCGATGACATTGCAATATAACATCCTCATTCATTAGGTAAACAATGTTATCAGTCATTGTCTCATTGGAGAGAAATAAATCAGTGAAAGTAAAATATTGCTTGCAACTACTTCCCTCAACAATTATTTCATTACAATTTCTTTCATTCTAAGGTTACTACAATTCAAATAATGTTTGAATAAAAAAAAAGAAAAACTATAAATGCAAATGTTTGTTTGGATACATTTGTGAAAAAAAATATCAATTATTTCAGGTGTACTATTAGTAATCCCTTCAAAATAATTTTATAAAAAAAAAAAACCTTGATCTTTTTTCTTTTTTGTGGAAATTTAAATGCACCATTTATTTGACCTCTTAATTATTAATTATAGGTAGGCACTTAGTAATTATCTGGAAGATATCCATTCACTTCAAACTGCTTAGATAAAAAGATAGAAGACTAATTGGCTGAATTGTAATTTATCATTTTCCGTTGGCGACAATGAACATGACACAGATCAAAGTATGATAATGAAATGAAACAAATGAAGAGTGGACAAGATATATTGCATTATTCATTAGCATATAAGGTAGGAAATTTGTATCATAATATTAATTATTCCAATTATAATATTAATAAATGGGAAAGGTAAAAGGTAAACGATGAAGTGAAAATGATACGATGGAAATTTAAAATTAATGAAGAAAAAGTAATTGCAAAAAAGATGCTAATAGCAAGAAAGTTACACTAATAAGGGAAATGCCTTGAAATAACCTTGCCCGTTTTTTTTTTTCTTTTTTTTTTTACTGATAAATAGCGTGAAAGTGGCCATTTGTATAAAAATGATTTATTGCCTGCCTGCTCATTGAGGGAGCAGTGGTATTTAGTGGTGTTAGTGTAGCAGTAGTGATGGTAATAATGATAATAGTGATGATAATGATAATGATAATGATGATGATGATGATGATGATGATGATGATGATGATGATGATGATGAAGATAATGATGATGATGATGATGATGATGATGATGATGATTTAGATGGAGGAGGGAGTTAAGATGAGATAGAGAAGGTTGAAAAAGGGGAACGAACAGGCGCACTTCCGTGACCGGAGGAAAGAAGACTTTGTCAAGACCTCCAATCCATTCGCTTTATGTGTCACCTCTCTCTGAGAGCTACACTTTATATTATTTGTTGTTTGTCCTTCTCAATTGGACTTTTTCTCGTCACTTTGGGCGTTTGAGAATTGAAGTGATTTTGGAAGGGAGGTAAGGGATAAAAGGCAAACGAGAAGGACGAGATGAAGTGGGCATTTAGATGATAGGACATTAGCTTTATGACATACACAACGAAGGTTCATTATGTGACCAGGTAATGGTAATAGTATTAGTATTAGCTTTAGTAGTAGTAATAGTAGTAGTAGTAGTAGTAGTAGTAATGATGATGCTGATGATAGTAGTAGTAGTAGTATTTGGATGTCAATCATCAATATGAATAGCCAAGGGAGAAAAGGAGGAAGAGGTAAGGGTGAAGTGGACCAGGTCGAGTGGTCATTCACAGTTGAGCAGTTGCGCATAAACTATCTCATATACTCGTAATGGATCATTTGAATAGCTTAGTCTACCGCAATATATTTTCATCATCAACCAATCATATCCAATCCGCAATCCATTATCATTATCTTATCGTCTATTTGCTGTCATAATCAAAAGAGAAATTATCGAATTATTTCGACATTTGTATTCATCATATTAGATGTATAAATTAAAATTCAATATTGAAAAATATAAATCAAAATTAAAATGCAATCAAAAATATATTTTAACCATTGATAACAGCAATTAATTAAAATGTATAGAATTAATAAGGGGAGAAGAGAAAACGAACAAAAATTTTTTAAGGAATAAACAGAAAAAAATCGATATTAAGAAAAAGAAGTGAAATTTTGAAAGATGAAGAATGAATACTTTTTTTTAAAAAAAAAAAATGCATTTAATGGATCCTTTCATGCACTGCTTAGTGACAATATTTTAGCTATAGCAACGAAATTTTCCAATTTAATTTATAAAATAAAATACCTTCGCAATATTTCTGTTTGAGCTAAAGAAAAAAAAAAAAGAGAGAGAGAACTTATGATACCATTTTTATACTTCAACTTTTATAATGAATAAATTGAATTGATTACAATTCATGCTTGAATTCTAATCGAATTCAATTTATCAAAAGGAATAATATAGATGATTGATAACAACAAATAAGCATTTGACAGCTAATATCAAATAGCAATAATAATTTTTTTTAGCGATTAATCAATATTTGATAGCAAAAGTACTGATTGCATTGAAAGAAAATTTGTTGAAATACTTTTAAATCTGTAATGAAATGCTGTTGCCGAATAATTTCATACAGAGCAGTTGCAGTTGCAACAATTTGTGAATTTTGAATTTCACAAAATTGGATGTATTTAAATTTTACACTATAAGAGATAGTTATGAAATGATCAGATTGTCATTGTTTAAAATAAAAGTATGAAGAAAAATAACAGAATTTCACTTTTCTTTTTTAAATACCGCATTTTAAACGGTTATTTCATTAATAAAGTGTCAGTTTCAGCAAAGTTGAAAAGTTTTAAAGTGTGAAAAAAAAATCACTATTTCTTCTGATTGAAATATACTAAAATTTCGCACAAAGCGTACGGTAGCTTTTTCTTTAAGAAATTTGGCATCTTCCGTATGTTCCTTTTTTTCTGCAATGTATGAATGTATTGTTTTTGTTTGTTTAAAAAGAAAAAGTTAATAAATGAACAAAAGATAACTGTTTTCATGAAAATTTTTCCAGCAACAAAGTTTCTGCTTCTTTTTCCTTTTCCTCATTTTTTTCTTTTTCGTCTTTTTTCATCAAAAAAAATATTGCAAGGTTATAAAAATTCCTATTTTTTTTTTTGTTCTTTTAAATTCTTTTAACTTCCGGACTAGCATCTGCTTCTGCTTCCTGCATCAAGATGAAGGAACATCAGTCACGGTTGATGGTGGTACAACTGTCACCGTTATTTCTTCTTTATTCATCAAGACTTGTCACTCAAGATTCTAGGACGAACCGTTCCTTCCTCTTTATGCCATTTTAAACTGTTGCTGTTAAAAATTTACTCCAAAAAAAATGATAAAAAAGAAAGGATGAAAAAGAAGAAAAATTTGTATCATTTTGCTTCATCTTTTCAATAAACCTTTTTTCCTTTTTGTTTTTGTTTTTGTTTTTTTTGCTTTTTGCTTTTTTCTGGCATCATCTTTGGTCATACTAGTAGTATATTCATCTTTTCAATAAAAGCATGCACATTCATGTAATTCTGATTCATATTTAATCACTTTCTAATGAACGCTATTACTACTATATTATCCAATTTTTTTTTTTCTTTAAAAGATACCAAATATTATTTCAAAATTTAATTTTCCTTTTTTGTTTTTGTTTTTTTCTGGCATCATCTTTGGTCATACTAGGATCAATTTCAATGATTAATCACATGACGAATGGTTATAATTCAGTGGATTCAAAATTTTTTTGTTCTTTTTTTTTTTGGCAATGAAGCAGGACAACCATAGATTAAATTTAAAATTATAAAAAGTTGTCAATTATTTTAAGAGCTAAATTCATTTGTTTATTAACTGTTATGCATATTGCAATGCTTTAACTTTCCATTTCCATTGTGTTAAATTCATTAATATTGCTTGACTTGACTTTTCATCTTATAATTAAACTTTGCTAGCATCAAATTTGATAGCAAATGAAGCTTTTAGTGCTAAATGTTGTTGTGGTAGGATTGCAATGAATTTGCAATGAGTTAATTTCAGTTCCCTTTAGAGTAAAAATCAAATTAACCCGCAAGTTTCGCCTTAATTTCAGAATAAAATTGTGAATTACTTTTGCTAGCAGAGGAAGACGAAATAGTGCATTGAGTAAATTTCAACAAAAATAGCTCATAAATGCTAATGGAAATCTTTTTTTTTTTTGAATGGCAATTTATACTTGTTCCCTTTTCGTCTTTAAACTTTTCTTTCTTGCCTTCTTTTTTTTCCTCCTCCTTCCCCTTCCCTCTCTTTCACTGAGTTTTTATCGCAACAAATAATATCTCGCGAATTTTGATCCAAAAAAAGCAAATTCCAAATAAAAAAAATATTTTACTAATATTTTACTAGCTTCAATTGTTTAGTAAACTATTACAGTACACTGTGAACTGTTTCATTTTTTTTCGTTACATGAACAAATGAATTTCGTTATTATCATCATAATACAGTGGTAAAATGACAACCCGTTGACATTTTTGCTGAAAAACGACTCCGAACACCTACCTTTTAAACAACAAACAACAAATGCTTTGTTTGAAATTAAAGTTTAAAAAAAAAATGAAATGAATTTTGAGTAAAAGTCAAAAAGCCAAAAATATTTAAATTGCAAATTAGCCTGTTTAAATTATTTGAAACCGAATGTTATTGTCTTTTCACAACTACAAACTTTCAACAAAATTTATTAAAATTTTTAACATATAAATATAAAATTGAATGAAACATTTAGACAATAATATTAACGACACATTTTGCTAAACAATAATATAATTTCTCACATAACTATTCAGAATTATGTGAAACATGGCTTAATATGCATATCTATTGGATCCAACTTATCAACTGCTATCCATTGTCAATAATTAGATAAAATTTCATTTGCTACCATGTTCATTGGAAGTGAAATAATTTTCCAGAAAAAAAAAGGAGCAGAACCTAAAAGAACTGGTTCCAGTCAAATAATTTAATTCAAACCTGAGATTATTTGGTTTTAATCCAAAAATAATTATCATTAGATATTCGTTAACAAAAGTTAGCTCAATTCTAATTTCCGAAACCACGGAAAATATCAAGTTCCCATGATGATTTTTAAAAAATTCTTACATGTCGAAGAAAATACAAAAGTTTTCGGCTTGATTGAACAAAAAAAATATACCAGGATTTTCAATAAATACTCGTGCTGGATGATATGATTCTGAAAATAAAAAGGAATAAGTTCACATCTTGAATCCAAGGATTATTGATTTTTTAAATTTGCAAGAAAAGAGTAACTTGTAAAGAGTTTCATCCTTTGATTTGTAAAATTTAAATTTGAAAATGAAAATCACTACATGAAGATGCATTGGAGTTTTAATGAATTTACTACCAAATCAGAAATAAGTTATTATAACATTTAACGGAAATTTTCTTTACTGTATTTACAAAATTTTATTTCAAGATAAAATTAAAAAAAAAAGAAAAAGGTGTACCATTAACATCGACAATTACCATATGCTCATCCGTAATTATTCAGTTCCTACTCATCTACTTTCAGTAAGTATGCAGGTTGAAATTTAAATTCATTCGTTATACGTTTGTTTATACTCTAAGATTTCATCAGATTGAAAACAAAAGAAAAAACCATTCAGAAAAATAATATTACAAATTACAAAAGTTACCTCATTTTAAAAAGACAACAGTTAGATAAATTGATAAAAATTACTGGTTATCTGAAATAATTCGATCATTGAATCCATTTATTAGTATTTGTGCAATTTTACCATTCACTTTTTTAATTTTACCTTTTAATTGAAATATGATGTATGAGTTGTTATTAGCTTATCAAATGTTCAACCAATAACGATGTTCATTGATAATTCCTTAGTCTCTTCCTTAAAATATGATATGGAAACTTGATGAAGTTGAATTCCTGATTAATACATCATTAATTTTACAGAAATGTAATGAAAGAGTGAGATAATTGTAACAAATCGAAGAAATAAAATAACGAACTTGAATATGATGTTCAGAATGTATGATTTGTAATGTCCAAATAAAATCAATTTGTTATGTCTAATCTATTTCTTGCATTGATAAAATTTCAAATACAATACGGATGTGCATAGTTATGAGTAATTTGTATATAGTACTCAGTTGGTTAATTAGTAGACACAATTAAAGTGGGGTGTTTAAACGACTGATATCACAAACAGTTTTCAGAAAGTATAAAGTCGTATCTGTTATATCATCCCTCTATCACTAAGAAACGTGTTGTACTAGATGAACGGATAATCCTGATAATAGATAAACTGTTAGATATTGCTGATGACAAGTAAAAGATTATGGAAAATTTGCCAGATTCATGAGTATTAGGAAATCGAGTTCTTTCTTTTTTTTCAAAAGTAGTCTAAAATTGATAGTTTATTCCATGTTAACCATACCATTGGAAAGTTCATGTGAACTTCTGTAACATTTTACGCTAAAGGTTATTTCATTATTTCAAGATAAAAAAAAAAATCCAATTAGAAGTTCGAAAGTTCAATATTCATTTGCAATATTTAACTTTACAAATGCTGCTCGTATAATTCACCATACCTTTACTCTACAAGACTAATTTATCAACTTATGCTTCATTAATTGCAGTGATAAATTCAAAGTTAATTAAAAAATAGCTAATATTCAATAGTCGAGCAATTTAATTGCACCAAATCGATGGTACCACCGAACAATTCGGCGATACGACTCTGAAATGTGAGTTGCAACGAAACGGACAAAAGTGATTGAACCCAACGATCCTTAAGTTTATTCGAATCCACTTCAATAGAATCGCACTTATCTGATGATTGCACTTTTTTTCGGTCCCATAAAACGGAGCAAAAAATGAAATTAATATTATCAAAAAAAAAAAAAAAATGGAGGTTAAATTGAGAATTACAAGTAAGTTGAGGTTAAATCGCATTAATTAAATAAGTTAAATTCATGTCATCGTCATTTTATGTCACTTTCAATAGAATTTAGTGAAGAAAAATCAATTTAAATTAGCAAAAAAACATAAAACCATGAGTAGTTGAATTTTTTTTTTGAATTACGTCCATAAAATTACGATTGTAGAGAGGCGGCATAACTTTGAATGACGCATAGATGTGAAAGATTTTTGATGAGGCAAAAATCTCAACGCTGAAATTCAACATATTCATAAGACGGATTCTGTTGAAATAAGTAAAACGTTATTGATTAACTCTTACAATTTTGGAAAATTTTTCATTTACAGACAAAATATAAACATTTAACACGAACTTCTGTCAAATTAGGTTCTATTTCAAGCCAAATTTTCAATGGAATTAGCGCCGTCTCTAATGACTCTTCTCCGACAGGATCATTTGAAACGATAGAATGAGTGTCATAATCCGGAAATGTGCAGGGCTTAATTAGGTCACTTGTGTAAACATGATAAGTTGGAGGACTTCTTGAATAATAATTTCTGGTCATATAATTCAAATTATGTTTATGAAGATAGTGTAACTTCATATGCGGTGATTTCTAAAAACATTAAATTCTTTTAGGGATAAACTTTGGCCATACTTTGATTGGCTTATCAGCAAATCAATTCCTAATCAATCAAAGAAATGATAAATTATCTTAACAAACAACAGTCGAAAGAACTAAAAGAATGAAAAGAAAAAAACAGATGATAAATGGAATGATTATTTGGATAATTCAGAATGCTTACTTGGATGAACTTTTGCAGCACGAGAAATTTGCTATTCATAACAAAATTCAAGAAAAAGTTACAATCAAAATGTTTGGGCGGTTAGATGGTAGATGGTAGATGTCACCAGTGACTGTTGTGTCGTTAATTCGGAGGGTCTACTTAACCACACCACTCATTAGTTCTTCAACATCTACATGTCTATATCTACATGTTCATTAGAATCATTCGATATTCTACCTTCAAAGCAGATCCTTTCCGGTTCATTCGGGTTCTTATTTATGTCATAGATCACAAACATATGCTAACACCGTCAAAAATACCAAATGATACTGATAATAACGCTGGTATCATTATTGGCTACTTATCAATATCTTTAGAGATCTCCGAGATGAGTAAGCATTCGAATCTCGAATATTCTGGTCTCATCTTTGACATGTCGTCCATTCACGAATAGTTACTTGCTCCTTCAGCTTATTAATGATTGCTGTCAGCACCAAAGAAAAGTTGGCTGAAAAAGAAATTTTTATCAGATACTGGAAATGAATGATCGAAATGCAAATTTTGGAGATTCACAGGCTGATATTTGTGACTTAAATCTAAAATCATTTGAGAATTGCTTCAAGGATGCAGGGTAATATATTAAAAAAAGAAAATTATGAAATGCGTATTACGGTTTTTTTAAATACTCTTCCCGGATTTATTCATTTGAGGAAAGAAAAAAAAACTGGTTTCATTGTTGGGCTTTTGTGCTGTGCTGACGAAATCTAATTTGATTTCAGTTAAAACCCTTTCAATTATATTTCAGGGAGATTCCCATGAAATTTAAATTCAAATGTAGAAATCGTACGTGGGATAACGTGGGATACGTGAGATCGTACGTGCGTTTTCAGGATGTGTTTTTTTTTTTTTTTTAAACTAAGAAATTAGAAATACTTTCGGATTAAGATGAGAAAATTATTTCCTTTTTATGAGCTCATTAAAAGAATTAGTTCCTGATTTTGGCTTCAGCAAACGATTATTGTGATTCAGTTCAACTTTAGTAGCCACCCGGAAAAATCCGAGTAACTTTGTATATCCTTGTGGCATAGTGAACATTCCGGAAATATCATCATTTCATCATTAAAATTCTGAATTTTCATATGTTAGCAATGAAACAAATTTGATTAGGATTAACAATCTAGCTGACTAGACCGTTTTCCGAATATTGATGAAACCACATTCCTGAAATATATTTGATTTAAGCATGCCGCTAATTATTGAAAAGGGGTAACTCAAACTGGTTTGCTACAGACGAAATGTTCAAGTAAATTTTTAATTAAATTAAGTACCAGGAAGAAAAAAAAGATAATAGCATACCAGATTGTTGTATCAGGATTCCGTTCTATCTTATCTCTTATCACTTGCGAAATTCTTGGAATGCTAAATAGCTGTTGGGTCATTGCTGAATTAGGCATTTCCAGTTGATCCATGCTTTTTTTGTACACCAGATAACATCACTGGACCAATAATGCCAGGAACATTTCTTTTATCAAAAGATTGGAAATTTCGAATTAAACTTTAAATCGAAATTAGACTTCATTTTTCCATTTAATACGATTACTACCATTGCATTACCAGAATCCAAAATGAAATTTCATTTTTTTTTTCCATATATTTAAATGCACTAAGCATGAAAACTTGTCGGAAGCAAAATTAAAAATTACAATCCGAATTGAGGATTGTTGATGAAAGAACGGTAACATTCCATGAAATGAAGCACTGAAGGAAAGAAAGACGAGAAATGGGAAATCTTTCTGATAACTCTCATACATAGGATGATAATGCCATATTTGAGATTACCGCTATCAGGATATCTCTCTCCCCCGTATTTGCTCACCCTAATTAGTTGTTACAGCAGTAATAACAAAATATGTTCTTCAAAATGTTCAAGTTCACTTTGAAATACCAACATAGTTTGACAATCAAAAGAAATTTGATTATCAGTAACATGCGTATGTCAAACCCCACCATAAATAATTAATATAAATTTGAATTTGTCAATCCATCCAGTCCTAATACTAATAAACATGAACGTGTTAAAAGTTGATTATGCTTTGAAGATACCATAAAAAAGCTGACGCAAAACTATAAATCTAGAATTTCAAATTATCAATAATTTGCTTGAATAGATAAGAAAAAAGAGCCATATGGGTTAACAGTTGTAAATAGGTCATTGCAATCATTTAGTGCTAAACTAACTGCAATAAAGTTCATAATGATCGAACAATCCCCAAGTTTTAAAACTTTGAAATCCATTGATGGTGTGAGATTTTGGTGAGAAACAAGTTTTCGCTTCAAATTACATTCAAACCTCACAATGTTTGAATTTGTAGCGCATATATGAGAATAAACCAAAGGGGAAAGATGTGAATGGATGAGATGTGACACGTAAATGATATGATAAAAGCCAATATAGCTATGTATTTTTTTTATGGACAAAACATATGCAAAATATCAAATATACAAACAAATATAATTTTTTCGTAAATTATAGTTATCAAAGCGAAGCAAAAAAAAGGGAAAAATATGAAGTTTCGAAATTGTGACAAATATTGCAATGCATTAATAACATGGAAAAATTTACAAAAATATTAGTTTAAATATTAAAAAAGAAAAAACGAATTGATATTAATAAGGTAACAACAGCTGACAAAATTGCCAATTTTTTATTTATTTTTTGGTCAGATTTCAACGTTTTGTCTTTAGAAAACAATCCCTTACTATCGAACAGTTGATGACTATATAGAACAATTCTTAAAATCTCGCTCACTGCACGAAAAAATTCATTACCACTAAAAAATGACCCCTTGTAGAGGAATATGAAAGCGATCATTTGGAAGTTTGTTAACAATAGATAATCGAATTTTAATTCAAATTGTATACTGAAATGAACATTACGATTTCTTTAAAACTAACTCATTAATACCTAACAGTTTAATGTGATGTAACAATGAAGGAAATATGTCGAAAATAATAATTAATTTCAGCTAAACGACACAAAATACTATCAAAATATTAGTACAGATTAGAAGTAGAAGCAAACAGAACCAATAAATGATAAATGTTGCCATAGAAAAAGAACATTTAATCAGCTGGCATCTGGGCAGGTAAACGAGTAAGTGGTTAGGCAAGTAACTTATACAATCCTATAATAAATTTACCTTTGCTTACAACAGTTCAAAATTCAAAGTAACACTTGATAAATAATTTGCACCTTCTGAAAGTTCAAAAGACAAGAATGGAATCGAGGAAATTTTACTGGGATATGATGAATTCATAAATTCTACGTGGAGTTACTTTAATCGGATGGAAAGTGTAAGATGGATATTAAAACAAAGATTTAAACATAAATCGTAAAACTTGATATAAATACACCAATTCGGGATAAACCAGTCGCATTGAGCACAATCAAAAAGGAAAAGAAGCTTCAAGCAGCCAAGCAAGGTACTATACGTTCGATGATTCAAGTGAATCCAGAATACTTTCCGTAATCTAAAAGCAAGATATGATAGGTATGATCGCTTTCAAGATTGTATTTTCTTATATATTTTGATAAGATAACCGATTATATTAGGTTTTCATCTTTCTAGCAAGCATTCCTGTTTCTTTATCAAGCCAAAGTCCAATCTAATATGCACATAAGTAAAATATTAACTTTTCTTTCAGCTTTCCTGTACCTTCATGATCTTTTTATATATTCCTCTAATTGCTATTCAAGAAGGTAGATAATCAATATTGCACTATCCCATAAACCGAAATCTGCAAGAACGACTCCTGTAAAAATCGGATACTGTGACCCTTAAAGGGCTACCTGCGGTCTTCATACCGCCCAGTAAATGAATTTCGAAATTATCGTCTTTCATCAAAAGTTTCGATGACGATCGCAATCATGAAAAAGAGGGGGAGATAAAGCGGAGTAAAGGAAAATATTTTCAAATGGATTGATAGTTAAGTAACATAATCTCTTTTGAAGCAAATAAATTTTATGAACAAGCTGCAAATATTTGGGATTTGAATATAGCGGAAGATGTATGATATCCGACAAAGAAATACGTCCCTGATTTCCTTAAGAAAAACATAATGGCAGAAGAAAAATCGCAAACCTGTTTTTTATAGATGGATTTTGAATCAGTAGGTGGACAGACTGGTTCGTCTGGCTCAACGTATACCTCATTTTTTCCTTTCTTACGTGACAAAAGAAAGCCTTTCTTAAGGAGCTGAAATGAAAATCGTGTTTATTTTTGAAGGTTTTCATAGATAAGAGTCGTAAAAATTTATAAAAATAGTAAAAATTCTTCAGGATGATAAATTTTGTGATATTTGTTGTAAAAAAGATAAATTTCACAAATGAATGTAACGATATCTTTCGGAGCAAAAAGAAAATTCTTGCGAGGTTTCAAAGTTTTCTTTTAGCACATTTAAATGAAAAATGAAACTTTACATCATTTAACATCCGCTAAGATCGTAAATCGGAAAAAAAAGATGAAGAGAAAATTATATTTCTCCTAATGCGAATAATTACTTCATTTAATGTGTCATAATAAAAACTAAATTTTCAATTCAATTTAATCGTTGTGGTGCCTACTTAATTTTTAACATAGAAATTGCAAGTGGTAAATCTAAGTGTTGTAACTTGCCTTAATTTTCAATAAGGGAGACATTTGGACAACGAGTGGTTGTGCAAGCACAGCTCGCTTATGACTAATGACCTCTTGACCTAATAACTGATTGAAATGAGTTGCCAGATGACGTCGGAGAAGCGTTTTGTGAGCAGGCATTTGCAATACTTCAGCTAATGTTTCTGCAGTGAAAGTTGGTTCATGCACCTGTAGGAAAAGAGCAAAGTTGAATTCTCGAAAACAAGATGGTAAATCTATTTTCAAAGCTTAAATCTTACAAAATTTCAAGGCAAAGCACTTTTAATACTCCGTGAAATAATAAAAATGCTGTGGAAATGGTAACAAATGAAACGGTTGCTGATACTAATTCAGGTAAAGGGAAAAATCCTACTTATATCACTTATCAGCGAGTTTTTATCACTAAATTTCCACAAAACCCACCATTAGTGCACCATGGATTCCAGCACATAAAAGATTAGGTGTAAATTCAGCTAAATCAATTGCTTTCAGCCATTCGCACGTGCAATGATGTGACCATCGTTCTACTTCATTCGGACATGCTCCTTTGTGGATTAAATCCTGAAAAAAGCATCCGGAATGAATTATTTATGTCCATTAAAGCTGGTAGACATACGATGTTTGTCCAATTGATTGTCGAATAATGAAAATGACCACTCACGGGATTGAATCTTCTTTCCAAACGATTTGAATAAAAATCAACCGATCGTAGGAATTGTACACCGCGAGCAACTGTCGCATGATGAAGAGCAGAAGTGATTTTCATCTGCAATAGTTTTATGCGAAAAGATCTAACTCAGTTAGATTTCCTACTTCATTTCCGAGTCAAGAAATCCTTAAACCTACTTCGATCAAATCTTGTGCAGTTAGCAGTGTTAGCATTTGGCCGTCAATCATATTTTCAGCCATACTTTCACGATACTGTGGTATCCCGATGTCGTCTAACCATAACAACACCTTCAAATACAAAATTAAATCGATTAAATTAATTTCAGGATGAAGCATTTCAATCCCAATGATAAGTCATCAACTAACAAAAGTGGGAATTCGTTCTTTTTTTTTAACAAATTTCAATTACCTGATGTAAATCCATACGATCCGCAGAATCTCTAACACCACGACTTATACTAGTCAATATGCAACGCAAACGCTTTCTATGTAATGGGTTCCTCATTAGTAATTCCTGAAAATATAATTGTTCTACCGTAGCACACGTTTCAGTATTCCACTTACTAAACGTATAAAATTCTCTTATATTAAATTACACCGTTGTCATGCTAAATTTGATAAATTTGTGCTTTGAATAGTTGAACAAAAACCTTTTCATATTCTTGATTAGTCATATTCAACAGATGTCGACCACTCCGTATAAAACGCTCAACTTCGGGTACATAAACACTGAAACCAATTTCCGCCATCCATTCGCAAATTTGCTCTTTGCTCCAGTCAACAAACTGCTGCAATGGTGGTCGAAGGGCTATGGCGCCAGATATTGGTCCATAAATAGGTATCCGTGCTGAATGTGCTGGTCTGAAAAACATAATTCCAAATGTTTGGTAAATCATTTGAATTTTCTAATGACTACTTGAACAGTAATTGAGAAACATTGTTTCGCGGTAAATTATGAAAAACAAAAAAAAACAAAAAACAAAAAAAAACAAAAAAAATTTCAGCGCGATTCATAACCAGAATTTGCTCCAATATTCAATCCCTTCATAAGATCATATCGCACCTGCTTGTAATCGATTCTTAGGATTACTTTTCCCACGATAAGATTCAATATGATAGTAGTATAAAATTCCTGATCTATATCATATCCTTATATAAAACTAATGCAAATCAATAATGTTAAAGAATTTCTCACGAGATAAATCCGAATGAATGGAAGATCTCGTGTTATTTAATTCCTTTGCAAGAACTTGTAAAATTTTCAAAATAAACTGAAAAAGTGAAAAAAGGACAAACCTCAAGGTACCAGCACGTTGAAAATCAGCTGATCTAATTTCTTGTGAAGCACTTCTTGTCAGTTTGCCAAATAAATTCTTTAATGAAGACCTGAAATTAACATAAAATATAATATTCCTCATTGAAACGATAACTGAATTTGGTCAAAAAGTGTTGTCAAATGTCGTTTTAAATACCCCTCCTTTTTCATCCCCTTCCTCCTCCTTTCCCTCTCTCTTCCCCATTATATTAACTTAAAGTGACATCTCATTTGTTAAAAGTATCAGTTGCGATTAAATGAGCTAATACAGTGGGACGTACTTCACGGAAGTATGATGGTATTTGTTGATTTTTTCAATGAGAATATATGAAACATGCTGAATAAATCGCAAATAATTTCTAAACATACCTTGTTTTTCCACGTTTAAATTTTCCAATTTCAATGGAAGATCTCGTCTGCACCCCTCGCATTATTTCGTCATCACTTTCGGCTTCAAGAAAAGAAAACTTGAATTATACGGAAATTTCAATCAATATAGATCTCAAAAGAACTGAAATTTTATGCAGTATATTTATTTTTAAGACTTTAGAAAATCGATTCGTCAGGAAAGAACTAATACAATACAGTCCAGTTGAAAGGACTGACATTCTCGAATGAAGATTAAGATTTACCTGATATACCTCCGGAAGATGCTGCAGAAAGCTTTTTACGCGGTAGTGTTAAAGTTGAAGCAGCCTGTAAGGTAAAAAAAAAGAAAGAAAAAAACATAAATCACATTAAGCTACTGAAGATTTACCAAAATATGAAAGAAATGGGATTCCGCAAGCATTCTATACACATTATTACGACCGATATTCCCACTTACTTTGCGCGTAAACGACCTGGAAAAGCTTGGATTCTGAAATGCATCATGCTTATGCTGCATTTCATTTCCAATACGACGCAGTTCATCCAGTTCAGCAGCCAACTGTCGAGCAGCCGGAGATGATGGTGAGTGATAGCTATAAGAGTTTAAAGTTTTGAAATGTCTTTTGATTTCAGAAATCAAAATCAACATACAATTCATATTTTAGACACGTAAAATGATACTTTGGAGCAGTACGGCCAGTCGCTCTAGAAGAAAGAGGTGGTAAAGTGATGGTAGGATCATAATTAGTTTGTAGTCTTGGAGTACCCGAATTCGACCAACTATGTTGCGGTGATGCTGTTGATAATGATGAGGTATAGGATGACGATGACTGAAATAAAGCATAGTTCATTTTCTTAAGCTCTATAAGTTTGCTTCGTTAAAAAATTTAGAGATTAATCGATACGTTATTTGTGCAAATAAGTTTCTTTTGAAAGGTTAGAAAAGAAAAGTATTTGTAGAACATATCATTGCTGAACTTTAGTTAAATTCATTTCAAACCATTAAGTTTGAATCTTCTAAACTTTCTGCTTTCAGTTTGTAACTAAAAAGTACACACGAATTTTTAAACCTGCACTGCTGAAGGTGCTCTTGAAGAGATCGCACCTCGCTGCTGGGCACTACAAAGACTGGTTGGAAAAGATGAAGAATGAGCAATATGTTCGCTCGCGTCATCCTAAAAAGATCAAAAGATTTTAGGAGACATATGTCAAAGACAATTGTGCTTTTGTCTAGCATGATGTTATAATACGTCTGCGACATTTACCCTTTGGTAAATCTAATTTAAATATATCTAAAATGAATAGCGGAAAATATATTGCTTGATGTAAATGTAGTTGGGACTGTTCAAATTTTTTGCAAATCTTAAGGTGGATTGAAATATTTTCTTTGATAATGATGATACTTACAAGTAGTAATCTTCTAAGTTGAGTATTGATATCGAACGGCTGAGAAGTTTCAAAATTATTTTGAATGTAACAACGTGGCAGAGAGATCGTCGGCGCTGCACAAACGTCACCTTCACGTCCATTACGGCAATGTTCATCCAACGCATTTCTTAACGAACTAATTTGAATATTCTGCAAAAATACAGCAGTCAATTTGACATGGAAATAAACAATCAATGTACAAATTGATAGAGTATCTTTTTCTTGTAAGCTTGAAAATTTGTATTATGCGGAATTTCAATCAATCAAAACATCCTAGAACTATGTAGTCGGATGCATGCAAAAAATTTTCAATCAATTTCAAGTTTTTGAAGGTTATAAGTAAATGAAATACTCAAAAAGTCTAACTTTCTGCTCATTATCCATAATAAGTCGTTGTACAGCCATTCGTAATTGCACCATCTCCGCTGCTGCAAAAAATACTATCAGAAAACTAAGTAATCTATTTACATGAAATATCACAAAACTCATTCATCCAACTTTTTTGTTCTCTGGAAATTGCTTTACTACAATAATTTTTCTCCTCTTCTTATTGTCTTTAATAATACAATCCATTATCAGTAATGCGACAAAATTCAAATGATAAGAGCTCCTTAACAGAGGTCTACTGGAAGATTACGATCTTGTATATTCTCGAAAATCCCAAAATTACTAAGTTGAAAGGACCAGGCAAATCCTACACCATATTTATTAGCCCGATAAAGTGAGCTTATTACTAATGTTCTCCCAACCTTGATCAGTTTCCGCACTGACATTACCACCAAGCACTTGCTGATATGGCAATTGGGCATGAATCTGTGCCTTATAAACCTGTGGAGGGAGACCATGTTGCATGACAAAACTTTGCATTGTTTGATTTAAATGTTCAATCTCAGCCTGAAATTCTTTTTTAGTTTTTTTTTCTTTTTTGTAAATCATAAAATATACCACTGCTAAACTAAAATGAAAAATATAGATTATGAGTGAGCTGAACTCATTTTAAAATTTCAGTTTTGCATGAAATAACTGATTATGCATCAGGGATAACCAATCGCTCTCATAATTTTTGATAAAGCCAGAAAACTATACTGCAATTCAAAAAGATGTTATTTTGTAAATAGCAAATAATGTTCAAAATATTACCTTCCAGTGGAAAAAATAATCTGAAATTCCAATTTAAATAAACCTGCGAAAGTTGAAGCTTCCTTTCTGTCTCCATTTTTTCCTTCTCCAAGGTAGCATATTTGAGTTTCAACTTTGAAACTTCTGCTAAAAGGTCCAACTTTTTTGACTCCAAGTCACCGTTGCTATCGACACGCTACAATAATAAATTTCGACATAATCTGGAATTCAAGCTTTGAAATATTTATTTTAGACTTGCAAAAAAATTCTCCATGAAAGAATCCGACAGATAAACGATTGCAATTATTAAAACGAATGAAATCTATTATGAAAGACTGACTTCTTGCAGCAATTCTTCCGTTGAATCTAAATTGTTCGCTTTAGTTGCTAAAAGATTTTCCAGATCACGTATTTTTTCCTTCTGAGCACCGACTTGTTCTGTTAATATTGTTACCTAAAGTTTGTTCATAAGATATATTGCTGCGTGGAAGTCTTACTGAAAAAGCAAATGCACTTGGTAATATTGAAAAAAATAATCCGTAATGATAATTTCTCGGAATTTTAGCAAGGTCTGCTGTTATAAAAAGAAAAAATTTCGAAGTGAAGGAAAGTTTTCATTCAAAATTATATGTTTATGTTAAAATCAAATCTGCAGTCACAATAATTAAACATAAGTCAATTATTGTTTGAGGTGATTCCCGAGAAGCAAAAACTATTGATGGGACAGTTAACTTAGCTGATTTTATGGTTAGTAAGTATCAGGAGGAGCAAATTGCTTAAAACTGATATGAAGTTTTAACAGCGTAACATTTTGGTATAGACTTGACAGCCTCAAATATCTTAATCATCTCAACAATGACACAATGCATACCTGCAATGACAAACTATCACGAGCCATTGCCAATCGATGCAATTTCTCCTGCAATTCCGGATATTCTGGACAGGATACTGTTGACATTGATGGTGATGGACTCTGTAAAAACAAAAAAAAAAGTAAAATCCGGAATTTTCTGCACAATTGAAAAGAAAAATTCATTTCAAGTTGAAAATTTATAGAACTTAGCTAACATTCTAATTCGTAGAAACTGCTTAAACATGATGCGAATGTAGCAAATCCTTCATGACGACACGCTAATCCATCTTTTTATTGCTTCATCCCCAGGCTCTAAATTCGGTGGCCACAAAAAAAAAGTTACCAGCTGTGTCATTCAAACTGAATCTTCCTCCTATTTCGTCTTCCTTTGCTTCTAGCACCCTCTCATTACATCTACATTTATTGCCGTATTTGCTAAAACAATCTTTCCTTGCTTTAAAAAAAAATTAAGAATTCTTAAATTTAAAATTTCGCCAAAAACTTTAAGTACTAATTCATCTCGTTACCTCCCAATTTCATCACTTTATCAATTCAAGTTATATTTTGATCAAACAGTTAATTAATTTTAAATCAAAACCTTAATTAGAATAATTGAACACTTCCTTTTTCTCCTTCACCGAACTCATTAGTAATGATTTAAAACTTTTAAATTTAATGCAATAAAGAAAAAGGCATAAATAATTTTAGTGAAAGATAATATAGCTGAGATGAGTTTTCCTCTTTCAACAAAAATGCAATTTCATTGACAAAGAAAAAGAAAAAAAAATGATTCGTTTCACATTACGGCCGTAATGAGTTATGCCTCACACCCTTCCACTTTTATCCCTCCATATATTGCGTACCTCTTTCCGCCTTGAATAACAACCATTTAGAATAATTGCTCCCCGAGGATTTGCAGTTTCAAAACTTACATAACAAATAGTACTAGTTAAGGTGGTTTGGTCACGAACAGTAATTGGCGTTTATTTAGTAAAGTACTGTAATGAGATCATTTGTGATCAATCTTCGTATTGGAATTGATGTATTATTTAATCAGTGAAAAGTATAAAGAGATGTAATCAAAGTAAGGCTTACATTGCTTTTTACTTGTAAAATCTGAGGAATCCGTAATTTAAAAAAAGAAGTTAAAATCATTGAACTTCTTACGAACTAAAGTTAAATTGAATAAAAAATAGTCATAGTCATCTGCAGTATCATGCTTGCAGAATACACAGAACTATCTATAGTCAAAGAAAAGTGATGAAAAAGTTCTGGTGAATGTACTGCACATTTTTTTTCTTTTTTTTTGCACAGATAATAGTAAAAATATCATATAAATTTAATAAATTAAAAAATTTCGAGCAATAATTGCAATCAAAACTGTGAAAAATTCCAGAGATAAATTATACTCAAAGTGTAAGTTCAATATTCGATTTCAAAAATCGAAATAATAAAATGGAAAAAGAAAGAGGAAGAGGAAAAAAGAAAAAAGATACAAAAACGATAACTCAGAAAATAGGGATTTGGATAATGAAATAATGTTAAGCATTGAAAATATAGTTAACCAATCCGTTTTTGCTTTCATACTCCCAGGATCATTTCCTAAATGCAAGCGCAAAACCATCCGCGAGAAAATATCAATACTCATTAGCACCCAGGCTGCTTCCATCCCAGAGAGGAAGCCCTTTAACGGTGGAATTTTGCCTTTAATTGAAATTCCAGAATTTTATAATAGATCGAATCAAAACAACCTAAAAAGAATGTTTCTTTTAATTTAAATCTTCAAAAACAATCTGTTTTGGTCAGAAAATTTCTCGTTGTTGAATTATTACAAATCATTTTACAATTCTCACTTCATATGAAACTATTCCTCAAAAGTATTCATGAATAAATGAATAATTGTGATTACATTGTGACTTTTTGCAGTGAAATCATTTTTTTCATTTCCCATAATGGACAGATAGCAATGATATTTGAATAAGAATGAACATATTGAAGTGTAATGAACAAATGTGGTTGAAGACAGGTAATGATAAATTAGCAAATACTGCATATATTATTTTCAATTGATAGACGATACGATCCCGGTTGATAATATAACAAATGGAAGATGAAAAAATGAACTTACTCTGGATGTCCAACTACCAGCACGTGGGGTACGACATAATTCTTGTAAATTGACACTGCCAGCACATAGACCGGTTGGAAGTCTCATGTGATGGCATTCAGTTGTTGAGCCGTATTTTGAATCGCTCAAACTACGATGAATTCGATGCTGTTGTTTGGTGGAACCACGGAATCCACGATAGGGTGGTGGTGGAGGGAGAAACGAACAACTGGAACCACTGCTTAGCGTACTGGAGAAGCCCGAATCGCTATAGTGCGTTACGTATGGCAATAACGGACGTGATGTTGCCGTTGACGACGATGCTGTACTCCTTCAACACAAATGCGATAGCTAACATTATCGATGCCATCCAGAATTCAGGAACAACAAAACCTTGCAATCATCGACATACACTTTCCTGCTCACGCATCCTTATCACACACACGCTTCCGTAACAAAAATCAAACATCGGAAGATGATAGTGAAGATAATACGCTTCCATGTAGTATCTTAGGGCATGTTGAGTCAGTGGGTCATCTTACAGCTTCTTTCGAATGTTTTAAACAATCGCTTACTCTAGTGAGACTTTAGTTTAAACGTTTATCACCTGTTTTATCCAAAAACCAATCTATGGTTTACGCAAGAATGTCACGTTAATAAGGATACCTTTGTAGATGTTTGACCGTTGTAAAAGCAACTCAGAGGGAAAGATAAAATTCTGATTGATTAACTGCGAAAGAGGCCTTTTAAGGGTCCAATCTTAGGCCCATCAATGAATGCAATAAACAAAAGACATTTCAGGAGATAAATAGGGAAGGATAGAGGGAGGAGTAGTTGACAGGAAAATAGATCGGCACAACCGATATATTTACATGGAAATATATATTTATATCATCCGGTGGGATATGAACATTTTAATTTGTTCGGAAAAATGGAACCTGATGTAACTATTGACCGAAATGGCCAATTTGATAAGGAAATTGCGAAGAGATAAGAATAAAGAATATGAAAGGTAACTGGTACCAATTAACGGAGAACTAAGCCAAGGCTAAAATAACAACCACGCACATATTCGGTGTTATTCACAAATACACACACTGTCACCATGCTTATCGATGTCAACATATTTAAAAGGAAGCCCAGCTGATAAATACATTTCTAAGCTTTCCTATTTTCTTTTCACTAAAAAAAAAAGCGAAACATTTTTTTTTAAATGCATAAATATATGCGTATGTTTTTGTGTGTGTTTTGGCTGTTTTAAACAATTACAGCAATAAAGCAAAACCAAGAGAAACTCCATTAAAGTGTATCAGTAATCAGGATAAGGTACCTCATATCGATATATTCATTTGTTGAATTGCAAAAATAAATAAATGTCAAAAGCATCCTGAAGAATAAATGAGCAAAAACTTTTTTTTCTTTCCATTTTTGGAGTGCTGCTTTCTTTTATTTATTTATTTTATTTAAGCCAAGCTAATACCACCTTTCACATTCTTTCCTTTATCATTACCATACTCCTTACCATTAGCAGTTTATTCGTTTTTGTTTCATAGACATTTTTCGATTAAGTTATGAATTATGCCTACCATTTGATTGCATGCTGCTTTTTTTATTCCAATGCTTTCTAGCATTCTTTTCATTTTTTCTTTTCTTTTTTAAACGTATGTATAACATGTGAGTGTCAATTCAGATATACATATCGTTGAACATAAAATGAATTTATTTTCATAAGATTTGCCACTTGAATGCTCCAACAACATCATCACTCGGACTGAGAATCTCTCGAAAGATTCATTACCCAACAGCCTCTTAGATTAATACCATTCTTCCCACAAACATATTATTTATCAATTTTAAGCTAGGAAACCAACTTTGCTTGGTATTCTACCACTACCTTTCTAAATTTTTCAAATATTTTATGTGAAATTTGTTTTGTCCTTTGATAGAAGAAATTGTATTATCGCTTGATGATTTATTTGTTTTAATTGAATAAAGAATAACTTGAAACTTATTTCTATTTCTCAATGTTTTAATTTCGAAAACTTGGGATAAATTTTCATTTATAGAAATGACTGCAACTACTGGATTTTTTTTTCTTTACATAGCAAATCGTTTATGGATTTCATGAATATAAAAAGTGTTGGATTAGCTTAAAATTGTGGTTGAGCAAATGGAAATTTGACATATTCTTTTTGCTTTTTCCTCTTAATTGTAAGGTAAATTAAATGATCCAAGTCATATCTGAAATGAAATTTCTGGAAAAAAATAGGATGTTTTATAGCAATTTGATAAAATGAGAAGCATGCCTAACATATCCGGATTTTATTTATAGACTAATTTATGCAAGCATAAATCTACAACCGATAATACCATATGACGTTTTCATATCAATCTTCACCACGAAGCATACACACACACACACACACACACACACACATGCACACACACATATACACATACACATACACACACACTACACACACACACACACACACAACACACA